CGATCTCTAACAGTTCCAAAATCACCTCCAAGTCTTCTGTCAGCGTCGGTGGTGGTGTAGGCGAGGATATATGATCTCCAATCGCACGTCTCAACCGTGATACATGGAAAACCAGGTGTAGTGCGGATGATGGTGGCAACCTCAAATGGTAGGCCACTGCTCCGATGCGTGTCATCACTTCATAAGGGCCAAAGTATCTCAATGACAGTTTCTCAATCCTCCTCCTGGCCAATGTCTTCAACGAACCAAACACAAACGAACAAAGCTTGCGTTCGTGTTCGGTTTGTTTGAAACAAACTCGTGTTCGAAATTGTTAGTGAAGTTACTATTTGTGTTTGTTTCTTGCTTAGCGAGCCGAACACGAGCTGTTCACGAACGAAGAGCCGTTTTTTTCCGGAACGAAGAGCCGTTTTCGCTCGTGTTCGGCTCGTTTACACCCCTAGCCCTAAAAAGATCCTCCTGAGCTCTGCTAGTATCTTGTCCATCTCCTCCAAGTACTGATGAACGTTGGATACTGGTGTAGTGTTATGCCCATAATGTATAAAGTGAGACGGATCTCGTCCATACAATATCTTGAAAGGAGTTGTTTGTGCTGCGGTGTAATACGAAGAATTATACCAATATTCAGCCCATGCAATCCACTTAGCCCATAACTTTAGTGTATCAGATGAAAAACAACGCAAGTATGTCTCCACACTCATGTTGACCACCTTCGTTTTCCCATCGGTCTGGAGATGATATGTAGTGCTCCTATTGAGAACTGCCCCTTGCAACCTGAATAACACTTTCCAGAAGTGGTTGAGAAACACGTTGTCCCTCCACACTCATGTTGACCACCTTCGTTTTCCCATCGTTCTGGAGATGCTATGTAGTGCTCCTATTGAGAACTGTCCCTTGCAACCTGAATAACTCTTTCCAGAAGTGGTTGAGAAACACGTTGTCCATATTTGAAACAATTGATTATGGTATTCCGTGCAAACAGACCACTTACCAAATAAACATCGTCGCGACTGAGACCGTCATGAAAGCAAGCCATAAGAGAGTGAAATGTGCATACTTACTCAAGCAATCCACCGAACCCTTCTGACTGTGACAATCCCTCAATGAAATTCATCATCATTTCTTCCCAAACCATCCTCGACGATGCTAATGGTTGTAATAACCCTCCTAATGCTACGGTCAAGTACTTGTGCTGCTGATATACTTCGCATTTTGCCACCATATCCCATGAATGCACTGCCCTGAAACACTTATGATAATATAGCAATATACTCTGACGATTTAGGTGGCACGAATCACCCCTGGTGGAGCAACTGTTGTCTCCTAAATTCATATACTGGGTGGCTGTTTGGATGCTGTAAAAACTCGACTCTTACCTTCCTCAACTCCTCATCCTTTTCTCTCTCATGTCTCAAGGCTTCCCATTCTAGGACCAATGGTATTGATAAAGCCGTAATTGAGGTTCCTTTAGCTTTCTCGATAGTGCGTTAGTTGCCTTGTTCTCTAGTCCTAGCCTGTACTGAATCTTGGACAGCCATCTTTGATGATCCTCAGTCATCGTTCGCTGCTCCAGAAGATACTTTAAACTCCTACAATCTGTCCTGACCAAAAAATGTCATCCCAACAGGTAAGGCTGCCACTTCTAAATGGACAAGACAATTGCCATCAATTCCCGTTCATACATTGAATCTTTAGCATGCTCTGGCTTTAAAAAATTGGCTAAAGTAGGCAATCGGCCTCTAATCTTGCATGAGCCTGCTCATAATCCGTAGCCTGACACATCTGTCTCCACCACGAAGGGTTTACTAAAATCTGGACATGCTAATACCGAGACGTTAGTCATTGCCCACTTCATGTGTTCAAATGCTTGTGCTGATGCTTCCCCCCATTTGAAATTATTTTTCTTCAGTTGCTCCGTTAGTGGTCGTGTTATCGTGTCATATCTTCTCACAAATTTCCAGTAGTATCCGGTGAGACCCAAGAATCTTCTCAACTCATTCAAACTCATTGGTAAGAGACAATCAACCATAGCCTCAATCTTGGACTGATCCACTGCTACCCCTGTTTTGGACACCACATGCTCTAGGTACTCCACCTGCAACTATGCAAAAAAACATATCTGGCATATAACTGGTGTTCCCTCAATATCTAAAAAACTGTCTTAGGTGCCCCGCATGCTTTGTCTCTGTACAACTGTAGATCAAAATTTCATTAAAGAAGACCAAGACAAATTTCCGAAGGTAAGGCTGGAACACCCTATTCACGAGGAACTGAAATGTCTCTGGGGTGTTATGAGGCCAAACGACATCACTATGAACTCATAATGTCCTTCATGTATCCTGAACGCTATCTTGTGCACATCCGCTGGGTTCATCCTGATCGAATGATATCCCGACTTAAGATCAAGTTTTGAGAAAATGACTAGCCCCATAAAGTTCATCCAGTAACTCATCAACCACAGGAATAGGAAACTTGTCCAACACCGTCTCCTTGTTCAACGCTCAACAGTTCACGCAAAATCTCCAATTACCATCTTTTTTCTCACCAACAGGACAAGACTGGAAAAAAAAAACTCACACTAGGCCTGATAATCCCAGCCTCGAGCATCTCTCGGATCAACTTCTCTATCTCATCATTCTGAATCTGAGGGTACCTGTAAGGTATGACGTTGATGGGAAACACTTCTCTATCTCATCATTCTGAATCTGAGGGTACCTATAAGGTCTGACGTTGATGAGAAACACCCTCCAATGTAATAGCGTGCTCGTGCTCCCTCGGAGGAGGTACCTCACTTGACTGCTGGAAGACATTAGTAAACTATTACAGAAGTTGTTGGGCCCCTTCCAAAAACTGTGCCCACTCTGAATATCAAATCTTCTCAATGCTCTGCAACTCTACCATGTAACCTAGTCTCGCTCCCTGAATCAACTCGACCATGGTTTTAAGCGACACCATGGTTTTGCATAAGCTAGCATCTCCTCTCAGCATCACTTCCTACCCTCCACTTGAAACTCCATCATCAAGGACTTCCAATCCACATTCATCTCTCCCAATGTTCGCAGTCACTTCCTACCCTCCACTTCCCACTCCAGATTCCCTCCTTCCTCCATCATACTCTTTCGTGACCCTTCCACCATCCCTTCTCCAATGTTCGGGCTCATCCCCCTCCATCAGAAGTCTCCACTACCCATCCTCTTGGAGCCCTAGGGGGGCGCTATTGTAGGTAGATGATGTCTTCATCGTTGTTTTCTCGCTCGATCTCCTTTCCTTTTGATCTGATCAAGGATTTCTTGATCAACCCTTGGTTAGGGTTTGTAACTGGAGTAGTCGGCACAACCTTGAATTGCATCACCATGAGCTTTTTCATCATCTCCCACATTTCTTCTAAGCCTACAAATCCATCATTCATTCAACTTTCAATAGAAGAAAATATATCCTCCATGGTAGCAAATGTTTCTTCCATTCTCGATTGAATTTGCTCTACCTCTTCTTCTAGTATATCAACTATTTTTGCTGCCATCCCACCAATATCTATGCTTTGATACCTATTTAATACGCCTTGATACCAAAATCAGCAAACAACTCTTACGAAAATCAAGGGAAAACAAGCAAGATACAATGTTGATCTACTTTTCGAGAGGTAGATCGTTTCTCCCACACCCTATACGTCTCTAGGAACACCACACGAAGAAAGAAAACAACAGTCAAACAAAAACAAGCATAAAAGAAAGCAAACCCTAGGTTCCCCTTCTAATAGAATCCCCTCACAACATTTCAAAAACTTTCCCTCCTAACTTTTCCTCCGAACTCCTTTAATTTATCCTCTTTGCATAGGTGATTATGGCACTCGTGGACCCCACCCTTTCCTTTCCCTCTTCTGCGGCTACCTCTGTCCGCTCCCTTTCTTCCCGTCGCCAAGACCAGCCCGCCTGTGGGCCGCTTCCACTATTTCCAGCCAGTCCAGGGTGGACCGGCACGTGTAAGGGCTGGGAGGGCGTAGCACTAAGCAAACAACAAATGACCTCTTAGTATTTACTCTCTCAAGCGTATGCAAAATTCTGTGAGAGCCTTCGTCAACGTTCAGAGTAAAAATCCAAAATTATACAAAATTCATCTAAGGCTAAAGGATCATGACATTTAACATATACAAAAATGTCTCTAAATATTCTCGAGGTTAAAAAAGATGAAGAGCATGGCTTACGCAAGCCGCAGATAGTAACATGGTACAGGGATGAAAGTTCCTTAAAAGAAAAAATTCTGGCATCAAAGCATGTCTGTTTCAAAAAAATGAATACCACTGAATAATAGCAATACAATGAAAAAAATACATGCTACGGTAAGAAGAAAAAAAAGGTGAGAAACAACATCAAAGCGGCTGGGCAAGATTCAAAAGCCACCTAGACATGTTGGAAGCAAATCTAAACAACATCAAAGCGGCTGGGCAAGATTCAAAAACCACCTAGACATGTTGGAAGCGAATCTTTCTACAAGGATATTTGACTTAGGTGCATCAGGGTCACATTCCACGATATTTGTAGAGCCTTAGTCTGAGCCTGGCAGCGGTTCTTTCTTAATTATTTTTTGTCTGGGTTTGGTTTGAAATAAACAATTTTATTTTTGTGCCCAAGAGTGATTTTATTTTATTTTTCATTTTTTTACTGTAAGATAGCAAATGCAAATGCTTTTGTGAAGCTCTGATGAATTGATACTCTAATTAATCTATGATACCCATGCTTATATGCTTGTTCTACCAGTCGCAGCTCCTGAATGCTAACAAACAAAAGATGAGGACGCATCTAGTCACTAGATTTTTTGTTGTAAGACTATCATAAGTAGAAGAACAAGTAAAATGCACATCCTCCTCAATAACAGGATAAATCGTGCACCTAAGAAACCCAAGGATCAGTTCTGCATCACAATGAAGAAATAGCACAACAGCCAAAAAAAATCCTCCTTGTATAAATTGTACAATGAAAATTAGATAAAGGGCATAACATTACCCAAAAAGCCAAGGTTCCCTTCTCTTGGTGTCATGATGCGCATGAGCTCTAAAAAAAGGATAGTAAGCACCCAGCTGGTACCAACGCACCAACAGCTCAGGTTCGGGGTTGCCAAAAAACCCACCAACATCCGCACCTACATAACAGCAAAATATAATTTTATCAACCAAAACCATAATAGAAAAATTGTATGACAATCAATGATTGCCAACGCCTTGTTACCTGAGAATGACATTCCAGTAAGCCCCAGGGTCAAAATCATTGGAACTGAAGATCTTAGATGATCCCAGTCAGCAGAATTATCTCCTGTCCAGATAGCGCCATGCCGTTGGCTCCCAGCAAAAAAAGCTCGAGATAAAACAAAAGTGCGATCCTTTCCATTGCCTCGCTTCAATAGTCCATCAGCTGTGGCCATAAGAAAGTAGTACCCATAGACATTATGCAATTCCCGGTGCTCAACTCCTCCAAAATGTAAAGCATCTCTTGGCATTGATATCTAATTAAAGAAATAAGGTTACTCATATTTGCACTTCTTCCAATGAATACAAGGCTTTAGATTCATGTAGAAAATAACAACAACAACAACAAACCTTTATCCCACTAAGTAGGGTTGGCTACATGAGTCCTTTTTCTCCATTGTGTCCTTTTGATTGTCATATTTAATTCTAATAATTGAGATAATTTTTTATATTCTAATAATTGAGATAATTTTTTATACAACATGCCCAAGTCTTATTAGGTCTACCTCTACCTTTCTTAACATAAGTCAAATCTAAAACATCCACTCTCTTACTAGGGTCACCGGATGGTCAATGTTTAATGTGACCAAACCAACTAAGCTGACTCTCACTAATATTGTCTACCACTGGAGCTACTCCAACCCTTTACATTCATGTAGAATATGTGACAAAATTTTAAGGTTCCTCATATTACAGGCACATATGTATATGAACTACAAAAAAATGAAGCCATAAGAAATATTAAATGAATCCCAAAAAAAAAAAAAAAAAAAAAAAAAAAAAAAAAGGACACTAAAAAAATCATATAGATAGCCTCCTAGTAGAAACAATGAAAAGATCTACAAGAGCAACAACAAGCATTTATCCCACTAAGTGGGGTCGGCCACATGAATCATTTTTCTCCAATGTGCCCTTTTGAGTGTTATATTTTTATTTAATTCTAATAAATTAAGATCAATTTTATATAATCTCAAGTTTTTTTAGGTCTACCTCTACCTATCTTAACATAAGTCGAATCTAAATATCTAACTCCTAAATGGGTAACCGGATAATTGATGTTTGATGTGACCCAACCATCTAAGACATCTCTCTCTAATCTTGTCTATCTCTCTAATCTTGTCTACCACTAAAGCTAAGACCCAACCATCTAAGACATCTCTCTCTAATCTTGTGTACCACTAAAGCTACGTCTACCACTAAAGCTAAACCAACCCTTTCATGAATATATTCATTTTGCATTTTGTCTCCAAGTATAAAGCCACTCATCCACCAGCATTCAAATCTCAGCAACCCTTAATTTTATGTTTCTCTTTTATAGGCCAACATTTTGCGTCATAAAGCATTACATGTTTCACCACCAGATTATAAAAATTTCATTCGAGTCTAAGCGATAATTTTCTATCACACAATAAGCACGATACATTCCTCCACTTCAACCATCAATAACAGCTCTAGTATGCATGTCTTTAATAACTTCAATATAAATCATACCAACACCTTTCATATCAACACCTTTTTGTTCTAGCACAAGTAAAAGCTCTCTATATTTCTCCATCAAACCTCTCAATAAATCTATAACTTCCTTGGTAGACTTGCCCAACACAAATCCAAACTGATTTTGAGAAATATTTCTATCACGCCTTAACCTATGTTCAATTACTCAGCTCTAGTATGCATATCTTTAATAACTTGAATATAAATCATATCAACACCTTTCTATTCTAGCACAAGTAAAAGCTCTCTATACTTATCCATCAAACCTATGAATAAATCTATAACTTCCATGGTAGTTTACCCAACACAAATCCAAATTGATTTTAAGAAATATTTCTATCACGTCTTAACCTATGTTCAATTACTCTCTCTCATAATTTTAATGTATAACACACTAACTTAATTCCTTTATAGCTCACACTCTTATGCATTACTTTTACTCTTAAAAATAAGGATCAAAATACTCTTTATTCACTCATCGGACGCCTTTTAAGTTTTAAAACTGTGGTAATTCAAAAAAAAGTCATTGATCTCTAAATAAGATAAACTAAGAGCACTAAGATGAATGATTTGACAAAACTCAGAACTTATGTGCTTAGGGCACATCAAACAAAGCATGAAAGTTGCACCACCATATAGGTAGATAAAATTCAATCCCACACGATCGACATATGACAATGATTTGTTGGGCAATCAACTTATTAGAAGTTGGCCAATTATCCTCAAAAAAAAATTATTCTAAAGTTTCAAAATCACTATAAAGGAAGATCCTTATAGGTCATTCACTGATTCTGATAGGTATTATGAAAGAAACTTACCTCAGGGCCGTTGAAGACTGAAGGCTCGTTCATGTCATTCCATATATACAAAGACGGTGTTGAACCCCTATAGTTCTTGAATGAGAATTTCTCAGCCCACCACTCCCGAACGTCCGGGTTAATTGTATCTGGGTATGATGACGAACCTGACCAGCACCAGCCATCAAAGTCCTTCCCTGTTGCATCCTTCACATAATAACCCTTATCTGTAGCCTCCTTATGCACATAGTAGGAATCATCTCTCTTGATGTGAGGGTCTACAATAGTAACCATATGCCTCCCTTTTGCTGCCAATTTCTTCTGCATCTCCTCTGGATTAGGGAACAAAACTCTATCCCAAGTGAAATACCTTTTCCCATCAGTGTGCTCAATGTCAAGCCACAGTACATCATAAGGTATGTCATGCTCATCAAAACCAGCATCAACAGCAGCAACATCATCCTCGTCTCTGTAATTCCATCTACATTGGTGGTAAGCGATGGCAAACTCCTGCGGCATTGCCAGAGTTCCAGTCACACTGGCATATTGTTGAAGAACATCCTTAGGCCCCGGGCCTACAAAGAAGAAAGCATCCACAATCCCTGCCTCACTCATCCAAAAAGAGTCAATCCTACCCTTCTCTGGAGCAGCCGAATCATCCCATCCAGGGGCAAGCACATCAATCTGCATCTCAGCGGCATTAAGCCAAAAGAATCCAGAGGACCCCTTCAGCCCATGCGAGAGCATGAATGGGATGGACCCGTATATCCCAAAAGGTGAATCATGTAGATACTCGAAAACATCAAGATTAAAAAGCCTATAGGGTTCAGAATGCTCCACACCAGGTCCTCTAGTAGCACGAAGGGCCAACGAAGTAGAGGCGTGCTCAGGGATTCCATACACAAAGTCTGCCCCATGAAACGAAACATCAAAGCTTATCGACTGAGGACCATGCGGCCTAGTATCGGTATGTCCTCGAAATCGTTCCTCCCAATCCTCTCCCTCTTTCTTCTCCCGGAGCTGCTCGAATTCGAATAGCCCGTATGAGTTTAACGATATTATTGGAATATTGGATCCTTTCCGTCGGACCTGGATCTCAAAAGGATCATGCCGTAACACCGCCTCAAACTCGTCCGACAAATAAAGGGAAGAAATCGAGCCGTCCTCAGAGGAAGATACCCGGGGGAGCCATAGGCGGCGGTCTTCGAAGTCGGTGAGCACGACATCGGGAACCTCGAACCGTTGTTTCGAAGGAGCGGAGGGAGCAGAGTAGTCTTCGTCGATCTTGAGGCGTAGAATACCGTTCTGGTAGACCGAGAGGCGGAGGAGGAGAGGGCGAGGGAGATCACCGGCGGAAACATCTTCGGCGGAGGGGATGGAAGGTAGGAGGTGGGCAGTGAGGTGACCCTCGGAAATTGAGGGATCGGAGACGATGAGACGGGGGAGAGAGTGAGGAGTGCGGGAGCGAGCGCGCTTGCAAAAGGGTGTTTGGTTGCAGTTGCGGAACTCGTCTTTCTTCCAAGCGGATACGGGGGAGGGAGAGAGGAGGAGGGGGATGAAGATGAGGAGAGGGATAGGAGCCATGGGGGCTCAACCGCGCAGAGGAGAAGTACGATCGATCGCAGTTAAGGCGAAGTGAGAGTAGGAAGTAGAGAAAAAAGGGAGTGGAAGAAGAAGCTGAGCATTAGGCCACCTAATAGTAACTAGGCCTAATGTTCATTTTTAGGATTGTTCAATCATTATTTTCAAATGATTCCATTTTTGTTGATTTATGCTTATTCAATCTTAAGATAATTTTATCTTTATTCCATCAAGTTTTAAAGTTACTTTGAAAATAATTTAATCTCTATTACATAATGATTCAAATACACCTCAAAGATAGTTTATCATTGTATGATTTTATTCAAAGAAGGTTCAATTGTAGTTCAAAAATTATTGAAAAATGATTTGATTGTTCAATTATCATTCAATGATACTTCAAGAATATGTAATCCTTATCGGATCATGATTTGATCATCATTTGACGATTGTTCAATCATTGTTCGAAAATGATTTGATCATTGTTCAACGATCAACCAATCATTTTTTAAAGTTGCCTCAAATAATATTTGGTCCTTATTTAGTCTTTATTTGACTGTCATTCAATCATTAATTTAAGCTTGCTTTATCATGATTTGAAGATGATTTGATCCGGGTTTAAAGATGCTTCGAAAATGACTTGATTTATTCATTTATGACTCGAATATACCTCAAAGATAATTTTATAATATTTTTACTATTGTTTTTATAACGAACTTATTTGAGTTACATACTATTTCCCAACATATCACCATTACAACTATAATCGAGTGAGCGACGAAAGCACAATCAACTAGAGGCCAATCCATTCCACTATATGAAGGGCTAAAATAATTCTTTGTCATAGTTTAATAGTTAAGAAGTGACGAAATTAGGCTAAATACAAAGCTCATATATTACCCGAAGAATTATAATAAAATTTATTAAATAATATATAAGATATTACTAATTGTGAAGGTCATGTAATTGTATGGCTAGTCCTTTTTCTATCTCAACATAGACCTTACCAACAATTATGACTCCATCATACAAGTTATAAGAAATTTTAAGTAGTTCTAGCATATATATATTCTAAAGAGTCATTCAAATCTTATGTGAAATGGGAACATTGGAGTGCATACAATATAATACATAATGTAAAACAATCATCATCCAAGGGGTAATTGTTTTACAAGCAAAACATTTCTGCACAGATACAGTATAGTTTTTACATAAAATGCAGATAGATATAAATAAGCAATTTATAATTTATAGGGACTGCAAATTCAAATTTATAGGGGGTTTTTATGGGATATGTTTTCAACAGAAATCTGAGCCTCCGGGATGTAAATTTTCAAGGTCACTTTTATCACATTTATGCTTGTTGCTGCTGAATTTGTTCCTGTCAAATGTCATTTAGCAAAGAACGTTCAGCACTGATAAAGACATGGAATGAATGAAATGAAGTTTAGCCAGGAAATACTTAAAATAAACCAAAAAAAAGGGGGAATTGACATAAATACCACCCAATTCCTATGTGTTTACATATATAACACCTATAATTAACTTTTTTTTTACATTTATATTACCTAAATCTTTGATATCACCGAAAATACATCTATATTAACTTTTAAAAGGTGAAATACACTATGTGAAGAAATTGCTGTCAGAATTTTTGACAAATTTAATGACGTTAAGTAGAATAATCCGAATAAAATAATGAAATCTAGAGGGTATAAAATAACTCAAATATTGATAACAAAATAAGATTGCTTTATTTATGCCCCCATAACATCCTGAACAAAATATGTGCTTCGCAGTTCAGATATAGACTTCCTATACCTTGCTTTAAATACAAAAGCATCCGGGCAGTGGGAATTAACACACAGACCACAGAATTTTTACATATTTTCATATCTAACACCTAAAGTTTGATAGTTACATTTATAACCCTTTGGTTGCATGAACCTATGCATGACAAAGTTGTATTTGTTGTGAGATATGTACTTCCTGGCATAGAAATGAAACAGAAAGAACACAAGCAAACACAGATTATTTACATGGTTCGATCCAACTGGATCTACGTCCACGGGAGGAAATCAATCAAATAGTTCACTAAGGCAAAAGAAATGGAGAATACATAGCTTATACATAGAGATGAGCCCTCATCTTCCTTCTATGGTCTCCCTCTCAAGCGACACCTTGATACAAGGCCTTAAGATGCTCTCCTCCTCTCTAGCTCTCTAGTTATTCTCTCCTTTGTGGCAGCTTAAGAGCTCTTCCCTGCTTGCTCTCCTAAGCCTCACACCCTATTTATAGAAGCAAGAGAGTGGTAGGTGGGAGGTAGGTGAGAGGTACCACATTACAAAAGTGTCATTTTACCTTAGTTCATAAATTGGGGGTCAAAATAACAATTCTCCACCTTGACCCTCAATTGAGAAGCTTCGAAGTAAGGATTTCCTCTACCTGGCCCCTAAGAGGCCCTCAGCCCTTGGTGAATTTTACTAAGTCCAGACAGTGTCTGAACTCAGCTGTCGGTAGCACCTTGGTGAGCATATCAGCAGGATTTTCTTCAGTAGGTATCTTCTCCACTACTATTGAACCCTTGGCGACGACATCCCTCACAAAATGAAGTTTTATATCTATATGCTTGGATCTTTCATGAAATACAAGATTTCTAGTTAGGTGAATGGTGTTTTGGTTGTCGCAAAACACAGTTATCACCTTCTGATGTATCCCGAGCTCCTCAGCCATGCCCTTTAGCCACATAGCTTCCTTGATTGTTTCAGTCACAACAATGTATTCGGCCTCTGTTGTCGAGAGAGCCACAGCGGATTGGAGGTTAGACTTCCAAATGACTGCCGTTGTCGCAAAACACAGTTATCACCTTCTGATGTATCCCGAGCTCCTCAGTCATGCCCTTTAGCCACATAGCTTCCTTGATTGTTTCAGTCACAGCAATGTATTCGGCCTCTGTTGTCGAGAGGGCCACAACAGATTGGAGGTTAGACTTCCAACTGACTGTCATACCGAAGACAGTGAAAATGAATCCGATCAGTGACTTCCTGGTGTCAATGCTTCCTACATAATCGGAAACGTAACCAACTACCTTTTCTTCTTTGTCTTCCTGCCTTTTAAAGAGTATACCCGGGTCTGTAGTGCCTCTCAGGTACCTCAGGATCCATTTTAGTGCTTCCCAGTGAGCCTGTCCTGGGTTTGCCATGAACTTGCTTACAATGCTGACGGCGTAGTTGTAGATCATCCCATACATGATGCTACCAACCCCGTTGGCATAAGGGACACCCTCCATGTACCTTTTCTCATCCTCAGTCTCTGGTGTTTGAGAGTTTGTCAATCTGAAGTGTTGGCCAATAGGTGTTGCAACCTGTTTAGCCTCACACATGTTGAACCTTGCAAGAACCTTCTGAATATATGACTTCTGAGACAAGAATAATGTGTCATTGTTCCTATCTCTAGTAATCTCCATCCCTAGGATCTTTGTAGCAGGTCCTAGGTCCTTCATGTCAAATTCAGAATTGAGCATACCTTTGATCTTCTGGATTTCCTCCCTACTTTTGCTGGTTACTAACATATCATCCACATAAAGAAGCAAGTAGGTACTTATTTCACCGTCTTGCCACTTCATGTACATGCAACTGTCGTAGCTGCATCTGACAAATCCGATCTTTAGCATGAACTCATCAAATCGTTTGTACCATTGCCTGAGGCTTTGTTTCAGTCCATACAAAGCTTTCTTCAGCAAGCAAACTTTGTCATTTGTCTCAGGTGTGCAGTACCCATCTG